TAAAACAAATATCATTAGTTTGAAGAGAGTTTAATATTTAAAGATTTAATCTTTTTTTAATAATTAGTGTTGTATAATTTGATATAATTTAGATTATACAACTTTTTTTCATTTTATATAACATGATGGATACTACCTAAGTAAATAAAATAAAATTTAGACCATAATTTTTTTAAAATACTCTCTCTGATTTGATTAATTATTTTAGTTTAACTTTTATGTAAAATTTAAGTAGATAATTTTATATAGTAAATAATTGATAATAATTTTTTTCTTTTATATGAAGTTCTTGTTGAATATTTTATTTAAGTCAGAAAAAAATTTTAATGATTATTTATTTGTTATATAAAATTATTAAATTAATTTATATAAAGTTAATAGACTGAAACATTTAAGAAAGACTAGAAAAAGAGTATAATTTTTTATAGTTTACCTTGCACTTACGCATTAGTTGATCATTGAAAAACAAAACTACACACTCTTAACGAACAAGACATGTATGTGTAGATTTATTAATGATATTTTTGTTAATCGAGGTAAGAAAAAGCAAGGACATCTTAACGAACAGAGATGACATGAAGATTAATTAATAATATTTTAATTTGTCTCTTTTTAATACTTATAAATGCTTTTATAAAATAATATTATACAACTTATCTTATACCACGCTTATTATTAAATGGAATTGAACACCTTTATATTGTGAATTTTCTTGCATTTAATAATTTTTATTTTATAATTTGGTATAATTTAAATTACAAAATACTAAACTCATGCTTTTAACGCACTCAATCTTAAAAAAAATACTCTCTTTTTTAATATATATGGAAGGAATTGACTTATATATAAATATTACACATTATATTTATAAAAAATTTTAACCATTTATCACTTCACTTCTAATGGTTGAAATTTATCGTAACTTTTTAAATAAAAATATAATTATTTTTAATAAATGTTAATAAACATCAATCATTAAAAGTGAAAAAATAAATGATTATGATTTTATTTAAGTGTGATATATAAAAA